CAGAGGGTGAGTGCCCAGCGTCCCCTCACCCGCCTCGGGTTCCCCTCCCCTTGCCGGGGTGGCTGTGAAGGCGAGGAGGAGCGGGGCTGGGGTGGTGTCCCCCCGCAGTGCCACCGGGAGTGGCGGGGGGTGACGGGTGGTGACGGGCTGTGCTTGGCCTTGCAGGCGCGTGTCGGCCGTGCAACGACACCGAGATCCTGATGGCCATTTGCACTAGTGACTTTGGTGAGTGGGGACCAGGGCCAGGGCAATCAGAGTGGGGGAACAGCCCCACAGGCAGCGCGGGGCCCCCTCCGAGCTGGGCTGGGCTGGGCTGTGGCCAACGGGGACAGAGGGTGCTGTGGCATGGGAGCAGTGATGGGAATGGGGATGGAGATGAGAACGGGGGCAGGAATGAGGATGGGGATGGGAATGGAGAAGGGGTGAGGGATGAGGATGAGAATGGGAATGGGAATGTGGATGTGAACAGGGATGGGGATGGGAGCTGGGATTAGGATGGAGGATGGGATGGGAATAGGAAAGGGAGTGGGGATGAGACAAGGATAGGGATGGGGATAAGGATGGGAGTGGGAATGCAGATGGAGACAGAAATGTGGACAGGGATTGGCATGGGAATGGCAATGGAGATGCGGATGAGAATGAGGACAGGAATGTGGATGGGAACAAGGAAGGGGATGGGAATGGAGATGAGGACAGGGATGGGAATGGGAGTGGAGATGTGCATGGAGGAGAGAATGGGCAAGGGAATGGGAATAGGGATGGAGACAAAGATGGGGATGGGAATGGGTCAGGGACGAGGGCATGCTGACACCTCTCCCTTCCTTCTCCCCACAGTGATCCGTGGCAGCATCCGGAGCGTGTCCAACGACGCGGAGCTGCAGGAATCCATCATCGGGGTGAGCGCCACCCGCATCCACCGACAGAAGTTCCCGCTCTTCCAGGTGGGCGGGCGGCCGGGGTGGCCCGTGGGCAGCATCCGCACCCCCCTGCGCTGTGGGGTCAAGCCGGGCCCCGGCACCTTCCTGTTCACGGGGTGGCTGCATTTCGGGGAGGCCTGGCTGAGCTGCGCCCCCCGCTACCGGGACTTCCAGCGCATCTACGAGGGGGCCCAGCGCGCGCGCCAGAACCCCTGTGAGTTCCCCGTGGACTGAGCGGCTCCGGGAGTGCGACCCGGCCCCGCGGGACCTGGGGGACCCCGGCGACGAGAGTACCCCGGGGGACACAGGGCCGGTGCCCGCAGGGAGGGCAGCACATCCATCCTCGCCGTATGGCCGGACTGTGGCAGCACCTGCCGGCGGGCTCGGGGGTTCTGGGAAAATCTTGCTGCAGGAGAAGGGATTTTCCCAGGGCGCATTTGTCCGTGGGCCCCGGGGACCTGCCTGGGTGAGGGGTGCAGTGGCACGGGGTTGGGGCTCCCAGGGGACTGGGTTGCTGCATGCTCAGGAGATGCTGTGGGGCAAGTGGGTCTGGCACCAGGGCCAGCCAGACCCCCAGACCCCGGCAGGGCTCGAGGGTGGGTGGCTGTGGTGGCCAGTCCAGGGACACAGTGGGCACAGTGGGGTGTGGAAGGGCCAGGAGATGGATTTGCAATGTTGAGGGTGGAAGAGGGAGTGGGCAGCAGCGAACCTGGCCCTGGCCCTGCCTGCAACGCAGGGCACAGGCAGGAGCTGTGGAGCAGACGCTGAGGAAGAGGAGTGAGGCCGAAGGGAGCAAGGGGAATGGTGAGGTGGGAAGAAGGCTGAGCAGAGGTGCCCTTGGCACAGCCAGGGCAGGACCAAAGCGCCAATGCAGGGAGGTGCTGTGGGAACAGGGAGAGGTCACTGTGCCACCCGTCACCGGCAGCCTACGGGTGACCGGCAGTGAGGCACAACGTGACAGCCGGGGGGAATTTTGGACCGTGGGGGTGGGGGGCGTTGTATGTGCACTAAAGTTATAACGATACCAAATTTGTGACTTTTTTTTATAAACTAAGCTGTATTTGTAGCGTGTGGCTCTTGTTTTCAAAAAGCTGAGCGGGATGTTCAGTGCCGGGCACCGCGGTGAGTGCCGGTGCTGGTGTGTGCGCCAGCTCCAACCACCAGTCCTGCCTCCCGTGGGGCTGGAAACAGCCCTGATATTTATATATCTACATATCTATCTACAGAGACAGATATATTGCTGTTTGCACATGCTGCATCCCCTGGGATGGGTCACTTTGGGTATCCCAGGGTGAGGGGGCTGGGGTGGTCCCGTGCCGGGTGGGTGACCCCGCCAGCGGAGCCGCTGTCAGGGCTGATTCTTGTCAGAGTTGTCAGCCACAAGGCCTCATTGTGCCGGGCTGTGCCATTCCAGCATCCAACCCTGCTGGCTCCCACCCCTCCGCTGCCCCCAGCCAGCCCCCGCCTCGGGCTCCTGCTCCTCTGGCTGTGCTGTGTCCCTGGGGGTGGAGGGGATGGGACCCCTGAACAGGGATGGGCCTGGGACCCCCAGCTGGGGGTGGGGAACAGGACCCCCAGACAGGATCGGGATATGGAACCCCCAGGTGGGGATGGGGCACAGGACCCCCAGTTGGGGTTGGGCATGAGAACCCCAACAGGGGATGGGACATAAGTCCCCCAGTTGGGGATGGAGTACAGGACCCCAACCAGGGACCTTTTCTCCTCCTCAGTGATGCCCATAGGTGCTCATCACAGGGAGGCATAGCTCCTGAGCCCCCCAGAGCCCCCAAGCCCCCTCCCAGGCCCTTTAGGTCCTTCCAGGACCCCCCTAACCTGCTCCAGGACCCTCCCAGAGCCCCCAAGCCCCCCAGATCACCCAAGCCAGACTTATGCCACACAGCCACTTGTACTTAAACAACTTCTCAGTCTTGTTTCAATAATACCTTTTCAAATATCACCATCCAGGACGAACTGCTGGGTGTTTGGTTCCTCTGCTGACCACAACACACTTTTCCTTGCCAAAAAACTGTTTCCAAAGAATGCTGTGGGCTTTGGAGCTTAATTAAATATAAATATCTATATGTGTGTGTGTATAGCATGATCTGGCTGTGATAAGATCCTGGTGGGTTTGATACACAACACATGTTTTCCCTTGAGAAGAGTTTGATGCTTATTTTATGTTTTACTGCCAATTTTATACCGATGTATTTTGATTTTTTCCTTTTACTGCCCCATTTTTGGGCTGGGCTGGGCTGGGCTCTGAGGGCAGGATGTGGCTCTGGGGAGGGGGATGCTCCACGCCGGGTGCTGGAGGATGCCAGCATCCCCCTGGAATTTGGCAGCAGGCAGGAGCCAAGCAGGGCAGGGGGAAGGGGGAAGGAGTGGGAAACCCAGCGGAGGAGGAAAAACGAGGCTGGAAAAGCAATAAACGAGGTGCAAAGGGAATTGTGCTGCCCACGGCATCCTCTGTTCGCTCCGGGGGTAAATCCTGGCGGCTCTGGCCCCGCAATCCAGCACATTCCTCGAGGCCAAATGACGGCGTTTAACGCGCGGAGCATCCGGCGCTTCTCTGTCCCACAGCAAAACCTCTTGTTTTCCTTCAAATCTGTTTATTTGGTCAAACCAGCTCACTGCGCTGCAGCGGAAAGGGCTGTTACTCTGCTCAACCTCCGCCACAGAGATTTTTGGGCTGTTTTTAGTGCCCTCTGCCTCATGTCAGGTTGGGTCGCCCGCCCTCCCTTCCCCCAGTGCCGGCTCCTGCAGTGCTGGGCCCCGGCCAGGGCACTAACACTTCCTATGGGATCACCCCACAGGGCAAACAGGCAGATGGTGCCTCAGCTTCCCCACTGTGGGATGGGGATCACAGCTCTTCCCCGTGGCTCAGGGTGGCCACGGCACCAGGCAGCATCCCACGGCTCCGGCACCTCCATCGCCCCGGGGCCAGGCACCCGAGCACTTCCCCAAAAGCTGAGTCCAGCCTGGCCAAGCCATATTCCTGCCTGGCCTGTTGGCACCCGTGGAGGGTGAAAACACAATGAGATAAACTCCATCCCGGGGAATATTTCCTCTGCAGGATGGAAGATGTGGTGTGAGGCAGCACCAGCGAGGGGGAGCAGGATGGGGGACACGGTGTGTGCTGGGGGGGCTGAAGGGGCTCGGACAGGGGTGGTCATGGTGAAGGGCTATGGTAGCACCCTGTGAGCCCAGGAAAGGGTGACCCTACCTGTGGGCACTGTGGTGCCCACCCAGCACGGCTGCCTGCAACATCCATGGGGATGATCCAGCCAATCTGCTCCAAAAGCGCCCCACCCATCTACCCACCCCCCCAGAAGGGGGTTTTGGGGATCCCATGGGCAGCAGCACCCCAAAAACAGCTCCCTCGGTGCAAATGTGCCCAAGGAGGTACCTGTGGCTCCTATCCCATGGGATTAGCCCCATTGTGGACCTAAGTGTTCACACATCCCAGCCCAGGAACTCTGCGGGGACTGTGAAGTCCCTCGGTCACACTGCAGGTCGGTGTCCGCACTGGGAGAGCAGAACACAGAGTGGTGGCAGTGCCGGGTGTCCCCCGTCCCTGTCCCCTTCCCTGTCACACAAAGGGAGCCGCCGTTTCCCGCCATTTCCCCCCCTCCAGCCCTTCTCCCCCCTCTCCTGCCCCCTTCACCCTCCTCCTTCCCAGCTGCCTGATAAAAGCCCGAACGTGTGAATCGCGGGGCACAAAGGGGAGGCACAAAGGCGGCCGGTCCCGCTCAGCCATCCCTGCGGCCCCCACCCCAAGCAGGGACCCCCAGGACCCCCCAGACATCCTGCCTGTCCTGCCCACCCTGCCTGCAGCACCCCAGAGCCGGGAGCTGGCATGGAGCAAGGGGATGTCCCTGGGGGCAGGGGGTCCCCGAGAGGGTCAGGATGATGTCCCTGGGGTTTGGACATTCCTCATAGCATCAGGGTGATGCTTCTGGGCTTAGGGGATGCCCTACAGGGTCAGGATGAGGCTCCCAGGTTTGAGGATGCCCCATAGGGTTGAGGATGCCCCTGAGACTGAGAGCAGCCCCATAAACTCAGGAGAGGACCCTGGGGTTCAGAGATACCCTGCAAGGAAATGCCCCTGGGACCAGGGGGTGCCCAGCAGGGTCAGGATGATCCCTCATCAGCTCTGGATGAGGGCCCTGAGGTGTGGAGACGATCCATAGGGTCAAGATGATGCCCCTGGGACTGGAGGATGTCTCATAAGCTCAGGATGAGGCACCCGGGGTTCAGAGATACCCCACAGGGTCAGGATGATGCTCCTGGGGTTATGAAATGCCCTATAGGGTTGGATGATGCCCTTGGGATTTGGGGATGCCCCACAGGGTCAGGATGCCTCTGGAGTTCAAGGATGCCCCACAAGCTCAGGATGAGGCCCCTGGTGTTCAGAGATGCCCCATAGGGTCAGGATGAGGCCCCTGGGGCCAGGAGAAGCTCTAGCCTACAGCCCTTGGCAAGAGGAGAAGCAAGAGCCTGGTGACTCCGAGGACACCCTCCCACCCTGCCACCCCTTGGGGCGCTGCACCCCAAACTTGGGCATCAGGGCGTGCTTCCAGCCCCCTGCTTCGACCGGGATGAACCCAAACCAGCATCACCCCAGCGCGGGGAGGGTTGCTGGGGGTAGGGCAGGACCCCGGCCCGCAGCGGGGCCCCGCAGCCCCTCACCCCGCGCGAGGCGCCTGCGCCCGCGTGTCCGGCCCCGACAGCTGGTGGGAAGCAGCTTTCCCAGCACATAGCGACAAATTCCTGGCGGTCAGGGCTGCTTTGCAGCCGCCGCGGCCCCGGCGGGGGGAAGCTGCCCTGGAAAGAGGAGGATTAAAAGCTCTTTGACTCCGGCGACACATCCCAACTGGTCCCCTCGCCCGGCCACCTGCCCGTCCCGGCACCCCGAGATGCTGCGGGCACCCCGGGGCTGGGGCAGCAGGGGAAGCTGCCACCACCCTGCTAAATCCCAGGGGCCCAGCGAGGAGGGCTCAGCCCTGCCTGGGAATCGCTTCCTTAATTAATTTGCTCTGCAGCACCACGGGGGCTCTCGGGCTGCTCCAGGGACCGGCTCATCCCCACGGACCATCCTCCTCCTCTGCAGCCTGCCGGCCCCCCCTCTTCCCCCAGCTCCGATTTCCCTGGATTTTCTGCTTTAACCGACTCCACCTGCCAGCGAGAAAAACCCGAAACCGGAAAATCAGGGTGATCCCCATGACCCCCGATTTGGCCACGCTGGGCCCTTCGGCGGGGCCGGGCAGGGAACAGCCCTGGGATGTATTTTGGGGGTGGCTTCACCTCCCCACTGGAGCCCCACGGCTGCTCCATGGAGTGTGATTAATGGGGTCTGGTTGTTCTTAAGCCCCCCGAGCTGCATGTTTGGGGGTAAAACACATGTGGGGGTACGTGTGGGTGCGTGTGCATCCTCATTCCATTTGGTTCCCACAAATCAGGGTGAGATGGAGCAGAAACACGTGTTGTGTTGCCTTTGGCAGCTCCTCTCTTGGTTCACCAGCAAAGAGGGGCTCCAGGGGGGCTGGTGCTGGGCCTGTGCTGCCCCCAGGGCTGAGGAGGTGGGAATTCCGCTCCCCAATTCCACTTCCCTGCACCCCAAAGCCCTTCCCAGGCCATCAGAGTTCTTTCCTACACCCACAGTGGCCTCGGGGACACCAAGGCTTGTGACAGGGTTGGTGGCCCTGTGGCAAGGACATGGGGTGGCACCAGACCCCCAAACCCCAAGCTCTCAGGGGACACCCCAAAACGGTGCTGGAGGGGAGCCCTGCACATACTGACCTACGGACCAAGGGGGGAGCAGGGGGAGGTGACAGTGGTGACATCCCTGGTGACACGTGGCCACACAGGCAGGGGGGCTGCAGCCCTTTGTGCCCCTCATTGAGCGGGTGTTGTTCCCGCAGTTGGGTTGGGTTGGGTTGGGTTAGGGGGGTCATTAACTGGGGGTGGGCAGGGGCTGTGGGGCTGGGCTGCCTCTCCTGCATCCCAGTGCCTGGAATTTTCCCACAGTCGCTGCTGCCTCACAGCAGGAAACCCCCCGGCTGCCTCAGGCACAGCCCCCACCAACGGGCACGGCTGTGCACAGCCCTGTGACAACCCCACAACCCCATAACAACCACACACAACCCCATAACAACCACACACACCCAGGAACAACTGTGCACAGCCCTGCACAACAGCACACAACTGTGCCCAACCCCACAACCACCCCACAACCACCCCACACAGCCATACACAGCCGTGCACAACCCCACACAACCAGGCACAGCTGCTCAGCCCTGTGCACAGTCACACAGAGATGCACAACCTCCACAGCCCTGCACGGCCGGGCACAACTGCACACAACAAAGCACACCTGCACACAGCTGTGCACAACACACACTAGACCATGCTCATCCACGCACAACTGTGCCCAGCTGTGCACAACTGCACAACCCCCTGCACAGCCACACACAGCCACGCACAACTACGTGCACAACAATGCAGAGCGACACACACAGTCCCACCCCACCGTGCACAGCTGTGCAGAACCGTGCGCGACTTTGCACAGCCCTGCACAACCACACACAGCTGTGCACAGCCTGCACAACACACACAGCCACTCACTGCCACACACAGCTGTGCACAGCCTGCACAACCACACACAGCCACTCACTGCCACACACAGCTGTGCACAGCCTGCACAACACACACAGCCACTCACTGCCACACACAGCTGTGCACAGCCTGCACAACACACACAGCCACTCACTGCCACACACCGTGCGTGGTCCCGTGCGGTTGTGAATGGCTGTGTGTGTTGTGCAGCACGTGCACACACAGCGTGCACAGCACACACAGCTGCACACGGATGGCACTGCCCTGCACAGCCACTGCACGACTGCACACAACATCACACACACCCACACAGAGCTGTGCACAGCCATGCACTGCCCTGCACAATCACACACAACTGTGCACAGCCACAGAGCCCTGCACTGCTGCACACAGCTGACACAGCCGAGCACAGCCGAGCACAGCCACACAGAACCAGGCACCAGTGCTCACGGCCACGGAAAACCACACACAGCTGCACACAACTGTGCACAGCCACACAGCCACACACAGCCTGCACGCCACCATGCACGGCTGTGCACAGCCACACACACAGCTGGGCACAACTGCTGGGCACACACAGGATCACAGAATCAGTGAGGCTGGAAAAGACCTCCGAGATCATCGAGTCCAGCCTATGACCCAACTTATCAACTAGACCATGGCACTAAGTTCTCAAACACCTCCAGGGACTGTGACTCCACCACCACCCTGGGCAGCCCATTCCAATACCCAATCACCCTTTCTGTGTAAAATTTCTTCCTAAAGTCCAACCTAAACCTCTCCTGACGCAGCTTAAGACTGTGCCCTCTTGTCCTACTGCTGGTGGCCTGGGAGAAGAGCCCGACCCCCACCTGGCTCCCCCCTCCTGGCAGGGAGTTGCAGAGAGTGAGAAAGTCTCCCCTGAGCCTCCTCCTCTGCAGACTGAGCCGCTCCAGCTCCCTCAGCCTCTCCTCACAGCACTTGTGCTCCAGTCCCTTCCCCAGCCTTGTTGCTCTCCTCTGGACCTGCTCCAGCCCCTCCATGTCCTTCCTGAGCTGAGGGCCCA